TTGATATCGCTAGAAACACCAGACGCCTTTATTATTTACAACGGAAAAATGACGGACACACGGTAATTAGAAAATCGCGAGATCATAAAACGATCATAAATTGTGGTATTTTATTTAGGAAACGCACCTACAAAAACATTTGATAAAAATCAGCAGACGAACAGAGAAAAGAAAATTTCATGATCATAAGTGTTAAAGTGGCATAAGAAATTTAGTGAGAAGCGGTAACTGTCATTGAATGCGTAACGTTGAAGCACATGTTGTACGTTAATATTATGACGTTGACGTCATAATTTTTTGGAGTGTGCCGCTGTCGCTGACATGTGTTTATGTAAAATTAAATATTGTTGTAATGTAAGAAGCTACTCACATGATTTTTCTGTGTTTATTTGTTATTAATTCTTCTAAGCAGTGTAAGAATTTCAAATTAATATCTCAAATATATTTTACGCAACAAAGAAAGTCCTCGAATTTTTGGATAACCCCTCGTATTCCTACTCATCCTCAGTAACCCAGGCTATTTACCTTATACCAGTGTAGACAATATACGGAATGTGTAAAATGATTTCTTCTATGTGTAACAAGCTATTTTTGCATATTTGACATCATTTTGGTTATTTATGTAGACAGTAAGTGCTGCTTAAATTTGGTAGTTAAAAATAAGAGTAAAATAAACTATTAAGATCCTTCAATTTAATTGGGTATCATTTTAGGCTAGTTCTGAAGCAACAGTTTGAATCAACTTAAATTCTAGAGTGTTTTCTTCCCATGTTTTGCTAAAATCATCAAAACACACAGTGTATTTATAACGAGTGTACTTCCTGGTATCTCAAGAAAGCTTCAAATTAAAATATAATGATGCAGGACAAATTCAATGTGATACAACAAATTGAAGATATTCTGTTTGTTTTGTTTGGTTTTACTGCGCACCAACACAATTTAGGTCATATGGCACTGAAACATGAAAGGTGATTTTAGCTCACCTATGATGTCACAAACTTAAAGCAATGCCAGGGGTCAAAACCACCTCATCTGCTGGAGCTTAGAGATGCATAGACTCCAGTAATTGGAATCCATTTAGTCACCTCAAATTATCACTCATGGATTAATAGTGGCTGCAATTCTGATGCCTGAACCCTTAACCCCTCAGCCACAATTCAATAAAAATATTGAATATTTATACTTTGTCCATACTGTGAATCACAACATTAATAATAAAGTTAATATCTAGTTACCTTTCTGGTTCATACCAAGGAAGAAAGTCTAAGATCAATCAAGCAAATGTTGTGTGATTTTCATAGATACCTTCCTGTTGCTAACCAGTACCGAGTACTGGTGTCATATGAGGAAACATTGTCCTAACTGCAACACATGTTCCAAGAGTGGAGAGCGTCTTATAAATATGACTCATGGTATAAGTAGTATGCAGCAGTGTAATATATATAGAATAGAGCGAACTTTTTTAAACATTACATATATATATACAGGGCTCGAGCTAGTGGGCAATTCGGGCGAAATAGTCGCCGAATTCCGTCTGACTTCGCCGACATCCTACATGAAAGCGAAGATGAAGTCGCCCAATTTTATTGATCCATTATTGAAAATTACAACAATAACAATAACTGTGAATAACATGTTGTGTGTGTTTGCTTTGTTTACCCTCGCCGCCGGAAAAAGGGACTGTCATGAATCTCAATCAACGCGAAATGTCATTAATCCGTTTGTGTACCAACATGTCATAAAAGTCTAATTAACAGACACTCGAGGAACAATTAGACTCCGCCCACGGCGAGATTACCGATACGTGCGAGAAACCAATCGTAATTCACGTTTTAATCGAGGCGACATTATTAAACCAATCATTAAATCGCTAACATACAACTACCCGTAACAATTATTTATGATGGACGGATCAAACGTCAAGTAAATTTACACTATCAAATGATTGTCAGAATTAAGAGGACCGCTCGACATATAACTGTAACGGTAATTTTAAATGAAAGTTATGGTAACCTTTATTGTCGTCGAGTTAAATTTGATAAAATTGACGGCGTATTACACTGTATTTATTACAAATGAAGTTAAATTAAAGATTGTTTCTTTCGTTATCTACTTTCATTTTCTTTACAACATAAGTGAATATGAATATAATGTCCGGCACAAGCTTTTTAATAGTAAATCAGAAGGGAATAACTGTTAATCCACCCATGATATGATCCATGATAGGAATCAACTATGGCTTTTTTATCTTCATTTAATGCAATGGTTGCATTACATGATACTCATTCTTATTACTTGTTTCAAACTACTTTTAAATTAAAATTGAATATTCTGTTGTAACACTAATCCAATTCATTTAATAAGATATGTACAGTGAGTCAACATAATTGCGATAACATACAACAAACATCGATAAATGAATCTCCTCACTTCTCCCTAAAGTCTCCCCACTTCTCCCTAGAGAAGTGACTTCTCCCTAAATTTTGAACCTAGCTGATATATAATAGTCTACTACCACACAGACATTATAGCACCTGGCTACCAGCACAGACATTTGGAGTATGGACCCCGCCCTTCTCCGCCCCTGAATATTAAAAACTAAAAGTATTGTTTATTACAAGAATAAGTTTTAAATTTGTGCTTATATTAGTATGAGACGGTTAAGTGTCTAACACATAAACAATTTTCAATAGAATTTCATAACGTTTTAAAAAAGTCAATTTTTTTCCAACGCTTCAATTTCCTGAAGATACCAAGCTTCGAAATGTAAACACAACTGACCTACATATATTTCAGGTATTCATGTTATCGCATGCCATTTATTTCTGGTGTAAATCAGTCGATGCATATATTCCTTTAATAAATAACTGCATGTTATTATCAGATCGTACCTTTCTTCCAAGCTTTGCACATTTAATTATATTTTCATAACTGAGTCACATGCTTCTTCACGAATTCATGACCACTGGAATGTTTCCCGTAAATTACAGCGGGAAAATCGCTGGGAAAAAGAAATTCAATCGCAACTACTCGGCCCTTTCCGTCAGTCTTATTGATTTGGTTTCTGTACTGATTAGGGGAAGTAACCGCTGCGGGGTTTTGGTTCTCGGCATGAAAATGAAAGCACAAAACAGTGCCGAAACTCATTCCAGTCATCTCACATCAAAGGAAAGCGTACGTTGTTATCTTCATGAAATTATGATATTCTAGGGACTTTTTTAAACGTGGTTAAAATAGCGGAAAACATGTTTTATGTTCAAGACATGTGACCGGGTCGTAATAATATGCAAAAATATTTTGACGTACGGTTTGCACGATAAAAATAGGCATGGTGTATACAAGTGCGGATCAAGAAGGGGAGCCACGCACATAATCCCAAGCGTCTGTGGCTACCAGGTCTATTTTTATTATTTAAGTACATGTCCATTTTAGTCAATAAAATCTATAAATTATTAGAGAAGAACAAGTACCTTTGACACTGTTACAAATTTACTTTATATAAGTTTACTAACTGATTTCATTCTAATAAATTTGTTTCAGCTCTAAAGTAGGTAGGGAAGGAAATGACTGATCAGTCCCAGCTATTGGCGAAGCAATATCAGGGTCATTAAATGTTCTGATTGAAGGATCTGTCATCTGGTATTTCTGCTATATTGGCACCAGTAGGTTTTAGTGGAGCTGTGAACAAGGCACTCTGTCATAGAAGACATACCTCTAAAAAGGAAGATTATGGCAACAGCAATACTGGCATCAATGTTTTCTTATTGTTGACCTTGCTGTGCTTTCATTTAAAGCCTGAAGGGGTGCTTTTTCTCTACATCTTCCATCACGAATGAAGTGCATGACCTCTTTGTGACTGAGGAGGACATTAGAAAGCCTGTGATTTGTCTTGTCCCCACCATTTTTACCATTGACAGAAAGAGCTGGCATGTTTATTTATAAAGTCACATACTTTTACTGTAACCTGGGTACCCTTGAACAAATTCACTAATAATATATTCAACTCTTAATATCCCTGTTGGTGTTATTGTCATCCCGGGTACTACTTGTAGGCCCCCATAGGTATCTTTAAGTTTTAGTATGCTAGTTCAAATACTCGAGAATAATAGGCCCCGAAAATTGATGTAAAACAATTTATGTAAAGCAGCTCTAGAATATGACTACATCAGTACATGTACCTAAAAGAGATAGTGTTTGGGCTGAGTAAAAATGTAGTTAGTAAATGATTCCTCTTCTTCCTATCTGACTAATGTTCAGATCTACTTAAGATTTTTAATGCATGAAATTGTTGCTTGTTGAAAAATCAGGGCCCGGGGTCTTTAAAAATTAACGGGTACCAATTCAGGTATCATATTACAGTTTCCTAGAGTGACAGGGAATAATCGAGTAAACTTCAAGTTACATCTAATGATGATTTACAAGTATAGTAGCCTAGATCTACCCTGGATGACAATAACACCCAAAAGCCTAAATAGATCTACCTAGCTATTTAGCATTAATTTTCTACATCATTAAAGTTGATAAAGGAACTGTTCTGTATAATGGAAGTGTGTTTCATGGGTTGATCTTCTTGTCCTTAGTATACGGGTCTCTCGGACATATGCAATTCCATTTCAAAGTTGTCAACATTATCATGAACAAGCGTTGCCATTAGTCATATGATTGTTCTGCATACAATATGTTAAATATCAAACTTAGATTTAGTCATTTGATCCGTCAAATAAATCGAAATGACGTCATAACATGCTAATTTCCATTTTCTGTCACCTTAACAATAATCATACAAATTATCAAAGTCAGTGGAGCATCTCCACTGTAATTATGAATATGCACGATTTTCATTATTCACAAAGAATTTCATTCGGGAATGCGGTCAAATATCCGCCATTTTGAATAATAATTTAGACGATATTATTTTCCGTAAACAACATTTCATTGTCATTAATGAAGATCTATATAATAATTTATTGAAGAATTTATAAGAGACAATATTTACTTACATCTAAAATACTATTGCCACCAAAAATCAACGCTAAAAACACGGAGAAGTTGTAGTTTCCTAGCAGCAATTCGAAGTTATTGCTTTCCGTCCGCTACTTCCGGAAAGTTCCGAACTCTTATTCATTCAAGGATAAAAACGTTTTGTGATAAAATTATGCGGTTTAAAGTAAGACAGAAGAGTAGAACACGAGTAGAGTACGAGATCTCGAGAAGAATCATGTAGCATAGAACTAGTAAGGCTCGTGTAGAGGGTAATCGATTTAGATTTCGAGTAGATTATAATCGAGTACAGAATAAAGAAGAGCAGAGAAGAGTACAGTAGAGAAGTACGAGCAGAGCAGACAGTACAGTGCAGTGCTGTACAGTACAATACAGTACAGATTAGAGTACAGAATATCTACATCATATACTGCTTTTAAAATCGTTTACGATTAGTCTACAGTAAGCAGGTATACATTGTATACATTAAAGAGACAGCTATGAGATACATGTACAAGGGAATCCGGGAATCAGTCCCTAGTTCTTATTGATACCCCTTTGGTTATTTTACATGCCCTGTGTATAGCACTGATACATGCGAGAATTACCTGGATTTCTTACCAGTACACCTCTAGGTAGACCATGTGGGAAACACTGAAAAATCTCTTAAAAATCCAAAGGGTGTAACCCAGGATCGAACCCGGGACCTCAAGAGTGTTAATCAGTGGTCTAATTACCAACTGAGCTATCTCGCCACCTATGAATAGAGTACATACAGTGCAGAATACAATGTAAAATACAATAATTTCACTTAGGCATAATTCTGATCACTTAAAATAACTGCAAGGGAAACTTAGATTATAATTTCAACAATAATGTTATATAACTGCAAAATGGTCCACTGATATGCAGAATAGAATAGAACAGAACAGAACATTACTTTATTATCTCAAATCAATAGACATATATATGTGATTACAGAGTAAATGCAAATTTAAAAAAAACATGACATGTGGTGTATGCAAACAGTATCATCATATCATCCCACTTCCATTCATAGACTCTATATAATGAATATACATGTATATACCATTTAGATATATTACTGACATAATATTAAGCATTAAACTATAGGACTGCACGGAGGGGATATATGATATTCATTATCATGTATATATATACACGACTAAGATTTAATTAAAACTTATAACCAGTTAAATATTCCACTTGTTTATAAAATAAAGTGTGAATAGCGTATGAATTGGTTTCTATTGAAAACCTCATTTTAATGAATTTGATAGAATACAGGGTAATTCAAAGATTATCCTTTTATATATCAAAAATGTAAATTGGATTTTAGAATAACGTACAGCTTTATATTATAAAATCAAAAATATGAAATAATATGAAACAGAGTTTTCAAAAACAGAATAATGTTCGAATGTTGAAATTTGATTCTTAAATTTAACTTGCATTTCACATCGTAACAAGCTCACAGAAATACATGTGTATCGGGCTAAACGTATCGGGCTTGTTACCCCCGCATGACTGTAATGTGACGGAAAAGGCAAACGTATTAAAGTTTGATACACATTGCATAAGATATGCAGTCCTGGAAGGGCTATCAATCGAGCATCAAATGCAAAAGACAACTAGCATTCCGTTGGAGACACGAGTTCTGCTCGATTGACAGGGGTCTTCCCAGTTTTATTGGCGTCACTTTAAATGGTTAAAAACCACTTTACCGAGATGTAACTTGTAAGTACATGTATCCTTGGAAACTACTATATACTCGGACACTTAGCCCCATGTATTTGTTTCTTGAACCGTGGGGTATTGCGTATTAAGTGTAAATTAAGAAAATATTCATAATATTTACAAAAGAAAAACGAACTGCAGAGCAGTACGTTCCCATCACTTTTTATTCGGACTTGATAGTATGGTAAGTGCGACGCTACTTTATTAATTCTTTCTTGATCGTATTTATACAGTAATCAACAACGATTTTTATCCCTACGTGTTATACATGTATCGAGTACGCAAAAGTCATGGCAAAATAGTTAAGGCATGGTTTTTCATGTCTACTGGTCAAATTAATATAAAATACCCTTTTTGAATAAATTTTCATACCATCTATTGATTTTAAATCCTACGATCGACGCTTCCACGAGGACTCGTATAACATGACATATACTTCAGTAGAATCTTTCAAAAAAAGATAAAAAGTTATAAAGACAATTTATACAAGTTTGGAAACATTTTTAGCAATTGCTAAGCGGTTTGTATTCGTTTTTGGTCATCAGTCAATATATTGTATTCCATCTGTCAGAAATCTGACTTCAAAATGAAATGCACCCACGGTAGCAATATGCCTACACATTTGGCAATATCAGTAATAGTGTACCTTCCGTGACTTCCAATTATTTCCCTGATCGTTTAGACATTTGTCTTGCCGGTTACAGTCACAGGGCGGGCATATTTTGCTACATCTTTGTTTGACCTGTGCCAGTTAGAAATTTCTTTCTTTATCTACGAAATGTCTCATAATACCTCATCAGATCTATAAACTTCTCCAATTTCAGTAAAGAATCTGCTTTGCCGAATAACCGAGTTTTGTGCAAATGTTTGTCTAAGCTCTAATTAATTTCTTTAATATTAATTGTAACCCGTTTCACAACCATTATTTCAACAGTGGTCAAAGTCTTGTAAAATTGCGATTAGTTTAAAACTGTGTTTAGCTGAAGGCTTGTGTTCATACCGTTGGAAAGGTATTGAATTTAGCTATTCTGGGGTATCACAATCCACGAAATCGTGCAAAGCGTTATTGTGCTGTGGTAAGGTGCACATATCATAACGATCAATCCTTGTATTTTGATTTCCTTTGGCTGAATCATTCAAAACACAAAACAGCATGTGTCTTTGGCAACCGATGAACATACAATAGCAAGCAAGGAAAGGCAATATTTAATTGATATGGCCATCCCCATGCACAATGCAAAATTTTACCAAAGAAACTTCTTCACATATATTATACATCGAGAAAGTACGGCATAGCTATAAATAGAATTTGGGACATAATATTTAATTTCTCAGATAGACTATTTACGCAGTTACATAAAAGAGAATGTTTAATGTACCGAACATTTTATGTACACAATTACACATTGTAATTAGCTGAAAAATAAAATATTGCTTCAATTATATAAAAACTATTATTTGAAAATATTTACATTTTGTTGGCCATAATTATACTCGACTTCACACAATGTGTCTAATTTTCAGAAAATATTAATGTGTAGATACTGTTGCAGTTTCGGGTGACATGGGATAGATGCCGCCAAAGAATACATTCTTTACATTTGTCAAGAGTGTCCAATATATGAGCGATAATGGAATGAATAAATTTATTTCACATTGCACTGCATTTGATGCAAACAGGTCATGCAAAAACTGAGGGGGTTCTATGTAAATAGTATGTTAACATACTAGCTGTTGTTCACATTATTTTGACATTAGAAATTCTTTTCCAAAGCATTCTATAGTAAATGTTGCAATAAAAGGCATGTTTATGCACGGCCCGATTCTGATAGAATAGTGTCGATCGAAGGTCCATTAGGTAGGGATGGCAATAAATAAGTTGCAAACTTACTGGAGGTTCGAAACAAGTTACGAGACAAAAATATAGTGTACACATTATGCCTCCTCGCGATATTGTGCTGCTTTTAGTAAATTTCGCTGTGGTATCGCTCCTGTACGAGTAGAAGCTGGGCGTTATGATGGCTTTTTTAAAAGTGAATTAGAAAGAAAATGTCAGTACTGTGATAATATTGAAGATGAAAGTCATAATATGTTCTTCATAAAACTAAAGCCGTGGAATAAAGTTATCTTTTGCAGCTATATATTGTGTCTCATATGTTTATTATAAAATGGTTTTACTGTAAAAATTTACGGATGTGCACATGCAGTGATTCTTTAAGAAGCAATGGAGAAAATTTCATTTTGTTTCATTTTTAAGTCGTAATATACCAAACACGTGACCTCCTGCTATATAATCTCAATCATTTGACTGGGCGCGTTCGATTCAACTATTAGTCAGCAGTTGCTGGACGAGTAATAATGAAATCGTTAACCGCGTGTGTTTATTCATTCAGATGCTGTTATGTCCAACAGCATATGTTTATCCAATACTAAATTATCTCCCCTGACATGTCTCATCCAATTAAACTTCTTTCCCGATATATTACAGTTATTAAGCCAATTAATCGAAAGAAAAAGATAGACTGCATTCATCTAAATATATTCCTTAAATCCTTTCATTCAACTTTAGTTTCAATTTCTTCTAAAATTGCCCATCCTTCGCAGACAACTATTCAACGACCTTGAAAGTTATTTCGAGGCTGATGATTAAAATTAATGACGTCACTGAAAAATGGCGGCCACCAAAGACATAATGGAATTGCAGGTCGTTAGTTGTGGTATCTTTTTTGATGATGTCTTTAAATCAAATATTTATTTGTAATTACAATCAAGGATGGATACGTCAGCCAGCACGACGCCTGACAAACATGGTAAATTGTTACTTTTTATATTTGTGCATGTTTTGTACTCCACCATTGACTTCAAACATAAACAAAAAAATATGTTAGACATCCCGTGTAAATTGAAGTTTATTATGACATAAAAAAATGATAATTAGAAAGTTTAAATATGTTATTATAACAGAAGACTTCATTTGACAACATAAACTGGCTTAATGATTTTTATTTGTATGTCTTGAAAACATTTTAAAAGGTTTATAAATAGATCCAATCTTTAACAGTTTAAGATAATATTTTTAAGTCCTTAAACTTTATGAAAACTGAAGAGTCAAGTAGAATAGATATATATTTATGTTCCCAATTTTGAATACCTATTAACTTTTTCAACCATTATGGCATCAATTTTAAGACATTTTGACCTTAAAACGTTTCAAGGTTCTGCCTTTTTGGACATTTGAGAAATTTCGACCCAATTCATATATTTTAATGTTATAATTCAGTTAAATATCATTAATCAGACTATTTTCTTGATTTGACATCGATTCTAAACCAGAGGTATATATAGTATGTTCTTTCCATACGTTTAGGACATACATGTAAGATGATGTAACTATAATATGTAGACAAAGGTGTATATTCCAGTTTTTAGCTTGATTATCCGAATAATAAAGATCTAGCTATTACACTCAACAAAGCATTTGCCGCGGCCTTTGCGGCTGCATCACAATTTACCAAGTTTTTAAATGCCAGTAATTTGATTGTGTCTCCAAAATTATTAGGGAATGGGTTGAAACTTGAGACTTCTTTTGAGATCATAATACGTACAAACTGTAGGTCACTGTCCAAAACATAGGGAATTGGTTGAAACTTTTATATTTTTTTGAGATCATAATAGGTCACTTTCCAAGGTCCATAACTCTAATATGGATTTTGACTGAGTTATAGCCCTTTTTGGACTTTTAAAATTCTATGTTATTCACTAGTTCAGGCTTTTGTTTTACTATCACGCATTTAGAATAGAATAGCCAAGTATGAAATGCTATCATACAAGTTTGTTTTAAATATTATGCACCTGTAAATTGTTACCATTGCTCAGTCACTAGTGGGGAAAAGCAGGGGCCTTTACATGGATTTTTCAACCCTGGCACCCTTTTGTGCTGGGACAGTCAAATAGTAAAATTCCAGCAGAGGTCCATGTACATGTACTATTATTTGGATATATCCTTAGCCATGTTGGCGCCTAATCAGAACCACTATTGGCCGTACAGTTCTTGGACTTAGTGCTCGCCAATTTTTTGAAGCCAATCACCGACAAGGATTTTTCAAATTTTCAGGCTTCAAATCTTAATAGAACAGATTTTATATAAACTGGACGTTTTATATTATAAAACGCAAGTGGGCGGAGCACTAAGCCGGTTAGAGTGCATATTCAATGTTCTTCGTGAATAAGAAAGCTACAGTCGCTTTGCAAGCTCCGCTCCTTTTTAGCTTTCTTATTTACGAAGAACACCCAATATGCACTCTAACCTATACAAAGAAGGTAATATAAGGTCAGTCAGGATAACAATTGTCCGGTTTATAAATAATCTTTAAAACAGCAGAAAGTCCAACACATTCAATATACAATATAATAACTATAGAGTGTTGTATTGGATTATCCTCGAATTTAGGTTTCTGCCTAATCTTCTATAAAATATAATATTAATATTCAGTTAAGACCAAGACAACTATTCAGGTAAGTTGCTACTGGGAAACAAGGACATTAATTCATTAACTTATTTACGGACCTATCAAACTACTGATTATCACTGACAGGGAAGACGGACAAAACCCCACCAGTTAAAACCCCACCACTCAAAATTTTATAGAGTGGACAAAACCCCACCACTAAATTTTATAGAGTGGATTTTGTCCACTCTATAAAATTTTGAGTGGTGGGGTTTTAACTGGTGGGGTTTTGTCCTACATTCCACTGACAGTCAATTGTCCCTTTGTAAGGTGTTTAATTTAAAATCTGCATCATTTTATGGTTAATGTAATTTTTGATATGGCTCAGACCAGTTATTCATAATTTCCAACTCTTAGACATTTAGTTCATTGATTAAATGTATATTTATCAAGTTTGCATGCTCAGTGTCATACAGGATAATACTTCCCTTGTTGACAATTAGACTGTAAGACAGATACAGTACATGCATATATCCCAGTAGTCATTGAAAACATTCAAGGCAAGAAAAAATCAGACGTTGCATGTTACATATTTCTCATATTTGTTAGTGATAATTTTTTGTTTGGAACATTTTATTACATGCTATTCGGTGGTTTATAGAAATATATCAGTGATATAAAACTGGTAATTTCACTGTTTGAAACAGTGAAATTACCACTTTGATAATTTCACTGTTTTGAATTTAAGCCCCTTAAGTTGTTTCAGTGAACTACCAGCGTGCACAGTACTGGGTACCAACTTAATGACGTGACGTCGTAAATGACGTCACGTTGTATTATTATTTGGCGCGCTTTTCATTCAGTATTAGGTTTAATGTCTTTTTAAAACGTTTTTTTTGCATATAATAAAAAGAAAATTTGTTTAGTTTAGTGTAAGATCGAAATATATTTCACCTTGTGAACACCAAAAGTTCATATTTCACTCGTGGCTGCGCCACTCGATAAATATACCTTTTGGTGCTCACTCGGTGAAATATATTCCGATCTTACACTGAACTAAACAAATATCCTATGTCATTACTAATATTCTAAGTTGTTAGTAATGGCTTTTTTACATTATCAAGATGTATCTTTGTCTTTGTTTGACTGAAAAATTTGTGTTTAATTTGATAGTCAACATACTTAGAGAATGATGCATAAATTTGATATTATTTGAGCAATAAGTGTTAAATTCAGAATGTGAAATAAACTAACAAGACTTAAATCTTATCCAAGAAAAATAAATAATTTAAATTACCGTTTTTTAGCTTAGCTTGACTACTTTAGCTTGACTACTATGTATATGGAGAGCTACATGTATCCTACTTGACAAGGTTTCCTCTTCCTGATTAAAATAATTTTTTTGTGCTTAAAATAGGTTTTTATTTCTTCTTTATTATCATAGGGATTTCCTTCAAACAAATTATTTATATATATGCCTTATGGCAAGGTTCATATACTCAAGGTTTTGCTTAATAATAGTTTTTCTGTTATTTTAATTTACTTATTGTTAGGGTTGGACACCGGTTCCCGGTATCGGTCCTATACCGAATAGTAACTTCGTAAATTACCGGTATATACCGTTTCGTAAAATACCGGTACTGGATTTGATACTTTTGTAATTTTGTAAAGAAAATAATTTAATAGTCAATATGTCAAAAAAAATAAGAAGATTTTTAAATAAAAACAGCCTACAAACACGTAAAACAAACTATGAATTACTATTATCATGCGGCGAGTACGGCTTTCGCGGCAAAGTTGAAGTTTGTGACGCGGCGATATTTTTGTAAAAGTATTGTGCTCTTTATGTTCAAGATAATAATATTTTTGTACTCGGGAGGAAAATATAATAATTTAAACTGATTTTGGTAAAAGTTTGTAAGTTTTAAATGTCAAAGAAACAACGAGAAAACAAATCAAATACTTGAGTGATCATCGGCACACAGCTTTTGCCGTAATGACAATGTTAATTCAACATATGACAATTGTTTATTCAAACAATGCTTTTAAAAAATAATTAAATCCTTTTTTCAGTTTAGTCTCTAAACACTCATAATGAATACATATTGAATGTTTCCAGGTTCTTTTCATCCATTACCACATGTACAAATCCACACGTGAATTACGATTTGAACATAAATAAGGCCGAAATATTCCAACAAAATATGCCTCCTTTTGTTTTTGGTGTAACACTGAACTATTATTAAACATGTATACATTTTCTTAACAAAAGAATGCTGACAGAACTTCAATCAAAAAGTGTGAATGTCGGCGGCTCTTTGATGGTGATAAAGTAACAACATCAAAGGGAGGCATATTCTTTTGAATAGCCTATTATGCACCTGTCAAAGGTCAACTTGTGTGTATTACACATTTAGATCTGTGATACTTTAAACAACTGAAACATATTTCATATAGTGTTTTGTAGGATTTTTTTGCAAATGTTGGCTAGTACTTTTGCGTATTTGAGCAGTATGGAATTATGCAATTTGGTAAGGACAATACCCTTTTTTCTGTAGCAAGATGTTCAACGGTGCATGCTATTGAAAAATAAAAGATGTTTAAAATTGAAAGGTAAATTCAATATTAATAAATACCAAATCCTTATTATTTGTAAAGCATAGGTATTTGCTTTATGACTTCTACAAGGACTAATATTAGGTTAACATGAAAATGGAAACAGTCTGTGCTAACTGTGCATATACATGCATTTCAAAATTTCTAAGTTAATTACTGGTGGAAAATATGTTTGTGCTGTTGTAGTAGAACAGACTGGAAACATAAGTGACTTTGAAAAAACATCTTACGAAATTAAAAAATCTTACATGTAATTCCAAATTGCAAAGTGAGCCAACCAATCCTGTGATTTCATTTATTACAGTAAACAATAATGTGATTTAAAAAAGAATATCAGCATCAGAATAAAATTTCTACACAGTAATAATAATAGCTGTAAAAAATAATAGATAACCAACTGTCTTAAATTCTTTCAGATTTAGAGATATCAAGATTAAAACAATAATTTGTAGACTTATCAGCTGCAGACCGCTGTCCTGCATAAGATAGTTGTCTGTGTATAAATTATGTCATGTTCTTTTGATGAAAAAGTAAAAGTATTTTACAATTAACATGTGTAAATGTTGTAAAAAAGAGTAAACACAAAACAACAAAAGAAAATTATACTTTACAGCATGAAATTTCAGAAAGACCAGTAATGTAACATATTTATTTTCTAGCACAACATGTTATATCTCTTCAGTTCTTATACTTGCAGCAAAGGGTTTGGTATTGTAAAAGTATCAGTATTAGTATCGATAAAATACCCGTATCGTTTCGTCAGTACCGGTATCGGTATCGGACCGTTTCGTGAAGAACGATATCCAACCCTACTTATTGTAATTGAATTGCCATTTAAGTTTAATATAATCACTTACGTCAGATGTAATTATTTTTTATTAAAAAAAATCATGTGCAACATGTTACAAAGACATAGGGTAAATTCCTCCTACAGAATAAGATAACATATCGTTCAGTAAAGGACAACAACTGTGACATCATTAGACTGCTTTGGTTTAAGTGCATGTCTTTTAAAATTATAACAACTTGAAGCCTTCACAGTTTAAAATTTGGGAAAATTTATTTAAAGAACCTTTTTTTTCAGGGTCAGAGACCTCGCAGTCATTGGATCCAACCCATCAGAAATCAGATAGTGGGAAGTAAGTAGTGTTTTTGTTGGCTTAATTGTATAGTTTAAAGAAAAGATATTCATTTCATCTGAAAGTCTTAACTTTCATAGTTACAATCTATATACTGTAAAACACTTATTATTCGCGAGAAATTTATTTTCGCTAATATTCGCGAGTTTTCTAAGACGCGAATTCATATTTCTCGCGAATATTTCACTTTGTCTATACACTTGTCCGAAAATATTCACTATTCGAAAATGCGTACACATGGATATATATCTGCGGGAAAGTATCGAAACCAGTTCTAGTTACATCATGTAGCTATTCAAGTGTTGCAGCATATACATATCGTACAGATTACTAGTATGAACTATTTACCTGTAACAATTTGGTATTATTGAGGAATTGGAAAAAAAAAATTCTTCGCTGCATATTAGGCCTAAAAAAAAAAAATGTTGTGTTTCCGGTGGCCCGACCGACCCTATTTTTTAGGGCCGACCCAAAGTTTTTTATCGATGTACAAAAAAAAAAAAAAAATGGCGCCCGTACCGAAGACGGGTTTTAGTATTGCGAGTCGACAACGATGTGAGGCACAGACGATTCGTGTTCCAATTACGTATTAACGCGCACCGGCTAATATGGCGGCACAACAAGCAGCCGAAGTGTCACTGCTGGCGATTTTCTTTAAAAATACGATCATAGTTTGGCAAAACAGGAAATCAAATTAATAGACCACAGCAAAACAGCTCAAAACATTTTTCGGACGTGCATGGTCATGTTAAGAGTGATAATATTAAAATTGAAGCCAGTTGTTCGGTAAGAATAAAAAAATGAAAACGAAAGTCGAGTCATTCCATTGGTAAAATTTATTTCAAAATATAAGATTGAAGACTAGGTTTGGTAGTCTAACATTTTTAAGTACTTTTATATGCTATAGAATATAATTTAAAGTCCATATAATCCGTATCTGACATATCTACAATCGTTGATTGACTAAAAAAAAAAAAAAAAAAAGTCCGACCTACCGACCCTACTTTTTTTCCCCTCGCCACCAGAAACACATCAATTTTTTTTTTAGGCCTTACCTGTGTCAAGGAAGGTAACTGTGACTTGCACTAAAATAAAGTACAAACAAATTAATGCGTCTCACAAAATTTTAATGGTATTTCTACAGATTGTTCTAATTGGTACAAATACTTTAGCACCTGCGAGTTGTTTGTAACATTTCTATTTATTGTATCCTATTGTATTGTACTACAGTTTAAGCCGGAGGGTAAACATAATCGTTTACTACAGGTTAGGCAAATTACAGTACCGTTTAATTGATTTTCGTCTGCTTGCCTTTGAATGGCTAATCAGTGAAACTTTAACACAGTGAACACATATCAAATAATTATCAAACTTTATTGTCATATTTTTAGACAGACGGTTTCACTTAACAAGAAGATTAGCAAGCTATCAGAAAAATCGATACAGATATAAATGCATTCGTCGCACAATAAACGACGCAAAGTTTAAGTGAACGGACAGGACAGAAAATATCCGAATGACATCGGGTTTCCGATTTCACATTTTTCGGGAAGACGCGAATTCATGTTGACGCGAAATAATTATTTTGGACATTTTGCCTCAAATTCGCGAAATAAGGTTCTCGCGAAAAATAAGTGTTTTACAGTAATTAAATTGAAAATATTTATAAATCAATTAATTGCTTATTGCAAATACATGTATTTAAAATTATAAATGAAAATAAAGATAACATCACAGTTGCAGAGATCCTTTTAAAATTAAATATTTTATTATATGAATTGTCTTATGTTGGTCAGGGCTTATTTTTGCAGGGGCCTTTTCAGTGAATTTAGGGAAATTTACACTTAATATAAAAATGACAGCTGCATGAATTTTAAGAAAACTCCTGGGTGGAAGCCATTCTTAAACTGCCCTAGAAATAGAAGGAAAAGTTCACCCATTCAAAAGTACATAAAACTTTAGTTTGCACAAATATTGAGTTTCTATTGCCTGTTTTCAGCTCAGCTGAGCCTGAGAACATACATGTAATGTTCATTTATGATAGAAGTTGAGTCATTAAGGTTGGCCAGTTGTGCATTTTATGTCATCCGTTACCAAACTTTGGGGTTGTTTACACTTTAGAAGTCACAATTGAGATTGTAGCAAACTTTGTCTGCAGATGTGCACCTGAGTGATATTTGTAAATAGAGTTGTTAATATTGTAATATGGTGTATTAATTTTTAGCACTGTAAACGTGAGCTTAATATTGTATGGTGTTTTTCAGTGCTGTTAGCATAAACTTAATATTGTATGGTGTTTTTCAGTGCTGTTAGCGTAAACTTAATATTGTATGGTGTTTTTCAGTGCTGTTAGCGTGAGCTGTCAGCGCGAGAGGCGGAGAAGAGAGCACAATGACATGGAGAAAAAGAGAAAAGAACAAATCAAAGCATGTATATGCAGGATGGGGGACCTTCTTCCTCCAAATTACATCACTGGTGAAAGACATGTAAGTAGATTTTATAAAATATTATTATTTATAGGACTGTGTGTTCGATTTTGATTTGCATAATTTATGCGCCAAGTAAGATGATGTGACAGCTGTTTATCTTTATTAGCCTTTTAACTTCTGGATTCATTTGATTGATTAGCACTACTTTGAATTTGGATTCAGAGTTTAAATGATTCCATTATTAAATTTTTATTTATTTTTTAATGCACAAAATTAAAAGTTATTAACAATATAGCATAGGCATGGTCAGACTGCATGAAATGTGAAAGGTAATCTGACTATATATTGGTGGCATTTTCAGTTCCAGCATATTAACTTAAAGGCACATTATTGTCTCAGAAACGAATATTTTTGTAATTCTTTAGAAAGTGAAATATGTGTTTAATAATGTTTTGATAATGATTTAATGACATAATAAATATTGAGCAACTGAAGGAAGTAACGCTGAATGTATAGTAATGTGTCATAAAAGCAGCAAAATGTAAACAATATAGTATTTTGACATCCATACAAAATACTTATATTCACTGTAATTATACCAATTGCCAACAGAGCAAAAGTAGCATGAGAGAGTTCATGAATATGGCTAATAAGTTGTTTTTTTAAAAAATGGTAACCAGATACAATAATAAATAGTTTTTGAGAAATTAAATAGATAGCATTTCTGAGGGATAATGGGCCTTTAAGGGTTAGTGAAAGAAGATGCCTGTTGGCCCTTTGTGCATTCCTCTAGCTATCTATATATACATGTACATGAATTAAATTTATAAAAGAACACATGAAAACCATTATCTTTGTGATGATAAGTATAAACTTTTGATATATAATTGGGGAGGAAAAACTAGTCATGTATTTGTATAAAATTATAGGTAGTGAGCAATTATTTATAGAAATAATTATCTTTTAGGCCTGGAATAGCAACATTTTAGTCAGTATCCCGTAATAATATAAACATTGCTCCACATTTCTGTACAAGCTATTCTGATCTTTGTTATTGGTTTTCATTTTCAAGGCTGCAGTATATAATGCTATAAAAGGATTTAAAACATGTGTTTCAAGTAAATGATATATATATTGGTTATAAATTGATATATTTACAGGCTATTTTGGTATTGAAGTGAAATATACTAAATTATATGGCTTAAGCATTTCATTAAAAAAAAACAACAAAAAAACCACAAAAGAACAAAAAACGTGTCAGTAAAATATTAGTGAATTTGTTTTTACTTTCACAGAGTACACTGGAGACGGTTGAAAAGTCACTTGCATACATGCGGGAATTGAAAGAAGCTCGGACAAAATTCTCAGGTAATTTCACATATCTGATATTTGATTTCCTTAAAAACTTTTTTGGGGGGGGGGGTAACATTCTTATTGTGATTGTATATTATTATTATCAAGTACATTGTACAGCATCACAACTAGTGAAAGTAAATTATTTGTTAGGTTCCATTGATGAATCGTATTCAATGTTTTGTCAACCATTAGTAAATTTATATATAAGATTTTCAGATTTCATGTTTTAGGATTTTAAACTTAGTGGAAATGAGTAAGATATTATAAGTGTAGAATTGTAAGTATAGATGTTTTAGTGTTATGTTTAAAATGAATTTGATTTTTAAAGGTGTATTTTTTCGCAATTTTTAGGGATAGAAGAATGTTTGCAGCAAGAGATAGATATGCTGAAGGCTGAGAGGGACAAATTCTCAGATATAATTAAAGCTGCAGGTATGTAAATGTTTACATAGTCCTGAGTGCATCTTGTTTGGTTGTTTCAGCCCAGTATTTCCATTGTTTCTGTTTATCTGTATGTTTGAAAAGGCTTCTTAATTTATTTTTTTGTGTATCTTTAAAATTGAAATGGTTATTATACCCCCACAAATGAAGTTAGGGTGGTATATACATGTAGGTTACAAGGTAGAAGATATTGTTATCAAACATATCACCAACTTATGTGGAGACTTTGCTTGGGATTGCTTTTGGATTTCCTTGGGTCAAGGTCAATATCACTGTTACTAAAAATAGAAAAAGTCAATATCAATGTTACTAAAATAGAAAAAAAAGATTTACTTCAGATCACACTTACTGTTTAAAAAGTTAAAGTGGCTGGTGGGGATATGAATCATCTAGTTTTAATAAATTCTCCTGATATAGAATTATAGTGCCAGTTACGAGTCGAAAATAAGTAAAAATAACTTATGAATTACCATCACATAATAATATTATGATGTAGTTTAAAGCTATCATTTCTTTTTATTGATAGGGCTGTCCACTGAATCGATCCCAACAAACGGTGTTAGCTCAACGACAGATGTTAAAGATGAAAGTCCAAAACCAAAGAACAAAGGAAAGAAGCGGAACACACTCAATGTCCACCTACAACAGCTTCAAGAACAAAGAGAAAAACAACAACAACAGGAAATGATCTCATCTTCTGTGTCGGTATCAGACGACACAAGTGGAAATTTACCGCCAAATCAGTTAATGAACATGCCAGGTGGGGCGTTTATTAACGGGCAAAATGTAATGTTCAATCCGATGATGAGTCAGTTTATGATGCCAGGTATGATGGGAAGTGGGAACCAGATGATGCCGAACCTTGGACCGATGGGCGTCATGGGGACTGGTTCCGGTACCCCCAGTATGCCCGGTTTAGGGAACAATAATGTTACGAATCAAACAGGTCAAACAGCAGGTGATCAAACTGTTAACAATATGAACAAATCAAGTGATGACACAGATGCTGGGTTATTGCAGCTAGCTATGCAGGATGCTGGTATCACTCCTGGAAGTAATTCCGGACAACAGAGTTCCTCGGCTTTAACGCCATCTGTATCAGAAACTGGACAAGAGGCAGAGTCCAGTTCATCTCAAAATAATGCTTTACAAACTCTCGCTTCTGTAGCAACCAGTGATCATATTTTCGCTACAGAAAATAGCTCTACAGAAAACCAGTCTACAACAGTTGCTGGGACTGGTTCCAGTTCTATGGTTGGATCTTCACCAAATATGCCAATGATGACAAGTACACAGTCTGGTTTACAGCCAATGATACAGACTGGTAACAATCCTTTAATGAATATGCCAATGTTAGGGAACCCAACTGGGTTACCAGGTCAACAGCAGCAGCAGATGCAGCAGATAATGTTTATAAATGATCAAGGGATACCTATGATTGCAAACGTTCCTGTAGGAATGGATCCGAACAATCCAAATGTGTTTAATAATGCCCAAAAACCAGGCATGATGCCGGGAATGAATCAAACAGGTCTTATCAAAGACCAGACAGGAAATATAGACCAGAATGCACTTGCATTAGCTCAGCAACAGGCCAATATGGCGGCTCTACAGAATCAGTTGCTGGGACAAAGTGCTGGAAGCAGTATCCCTAATATGCCATTTCAACCACAAAACTTATTACAGGGTAATATAATTCAGACACCAAATGGTCAGTTGCTTCAGCAGATAGGTCCTCAAATAAATGGCCAAGGTCAGCTTATAGGAATGCCAGGACAAGGTCAAGGTCTGGTTGTTGCTGGGCAACAAGGTCAGCTGACCTTGAACACAATGCCAAGTCAACCAAATCAACTGCCGTCTGCATTGATTCTGCCAAATGGTCAGATAATTCCAGTGGTGACTAACCCTGGTAATGTTGTGTCACAGCCGGGTATTTCTTTAAGTCAAGGGCAGCTTACTCAGCCAAGAATATCAGGACCTCAGATACAAACAGGTAAATGTTGAAAAATCTATAATTTTGTCAAGTTGTTTTGTTTATTCAGTGATTAGTTTTCACTTTTTAATCCCAAATTTGATTTTTTTCCATATATATTTGGTACCAAATAACGGACTGATTTTTGGGTTGGACCCTATCACAATTTTGCAAAATGTTAAAGAACTACATCAGTGAAGGGTACAAGCTTTTAATTTAGAACAATCAAATGGTATTTAAAGAGATTTCAGTACCAAAATACAAAAGTTTAGTGTCAAACAAGCCCCTTGTGGCTGAGGGGATTACACAGGGCTCCAGATAAGATGCGTATACGCGTAAATTACGCATGGAAATAACACGTTTACGCATTCAATACAAAATTTAAGCGTATGAAAACGCACACAAAATTCAGGTTACGCATTGAGCAACATTTCTTTCGCGTAAACGTAACCAAAAGTAAACTAGGTGATTATTTCGTCTGAACGCTTTGCAAGCGTCTACTGGTAACTTCCTGTAGTTCCGACTATCATCGGTTATTATCGTATGTATAGTAAGGTGGTGGAATTAACACAATTTCATAAACATCCTGTACAATGTCGCTGTCAAATTGACTCGTATTTTAAGCCGGAAAAAAATCGTTGGTTGTTATCGTATGTATAGTATGGTGGTGGAATGAACTTCGTAACTATGAATGCTTTGCAACATCTAACGGTAACTTCCTGTAGTTCCGACTATCATCGGTTTATGTTATGGTGGCAGCAATTCTTATGTAATCAGGGCTCCAGATAATTTTTTAGGGCATTGAGTATTTACTCATTGATTTTTTTGTGAATGAGTAAAACTTGAAATCTGAAATTTGGCAGGAGTATTTTTACTCCTTAAAATGTTTGTAAAAGAGTAAAACATTTAATATGCTTCCATGTTTATTGTATTATTATACTTGTAATAAAAGATATGTCAAAGTCATTTCTTATAATCTTGCATTTCCGAACAGCATACGTTTTATCTGAACCTGAGTAATGTTTTTGTTGCTCATATGTGGCAGCGTTAACTATTTCATTAATTATAACCTTCAGTGAAGGTCCTTCACAATTACATTCCGGTCGATTTTTTTCCGGCTTAAATTACGAGTCAATTTTACAGCGACATTGTACCGGATGTTTATGAAATTGTGTTAATTCCACCACCTTACTATACATACGATATTTATCAATGTGTGATATAAGATGCGACAAAATGATTTGCCAAAAATCATTTTTCCTGTTTTGGCACCTGTCATGTGTTTGGTGCGCCTTAAATCCAAACAAACCAAACCAAAGTGTCCATTAACAATAAGTTTGTTTTGTCTGCATGGATGTGCAGATTAATTTAGGCTGGCTCTGCACTTATAACATAGATAATTCATTATTGCCTAAAACAAAAATACAATTCTTAACAGAAAAAAATACATGATATTCTTTATATTAAAGTTGATATATATGATTAAATTTAAAATGTGAAAGAAAACTGTTGTTGATAAACTTTTCACAAAGATTGATTTTTTTCTGTTTCATATTTCAGCTGTTACCTTATTTACATTATAATTTTGTTTTGTTTACAATATGGTACATAAAGTGGAGAAAGTAAAATTGAACTATATTAGTGCATGAAAGTTCATTGTACTTCAATAGGATTTTTTTTATTACAAGTATGAGAAAAAGAGTTATCATGAATTTATTTTCTGTATTTATTTTATGATCAGTAATATTGATGACATTTTAAAATAAAGGGAAGAGGAAAAAATTGTTCATTAAAAAAAGGGTTTTTGTTTTTCTTCTTTAGATGGTGTTGGTAAATAGACTTATTCTCATTCACAAGATATTAAAATTTTAATTTTCCGAAATAGTGTTAATTCACAAATATGCTGAATTGATTTCTTGTCCCAATTAAACTTAATTGATTTCATACAACTAAAATATTTCCTGATTAAGTGGGCCTGTAAAATGGAATGTTTCTAATTTAGGGAACTAAGACCTAGACCTAATTTAGTGGACTATGACCTTGCCATTTAATTGGCCAAAAAGGAAAGTTTTTATTTTGTCTTTATATTGTAAGGTTAAAACAATTTATGAGAAAAATGACATTGAAACATACTCAATGCTTGACTATTATTATGCTTCCTTTATTGAATTATTTATTATTTTTAATGTCTTGAAACATTCTTGCAGCAATGGATGGTCAACTTCTATCAGGGCCGTCCAGTCAAGGGCTATTGATACCGGCGGCATCAGTTGGTCAAGTTATGACTTCAAGCACTGCAGCGTCTCTCAGCACTAGTGTCGTACCCACGTCAGCTATACAAAGTGTAATGACTACACAGATACAGGTAAAATATAGTCTCGGTTGGCATCGGCATTCTTCTTTAATTTTCATATTTCTTGCCCAGAATTCACAAAAGTTGGATGATTATTTACTGTCAGTGCTTTTAACAAATGATGATAATGATACGACTAAGGATAATAACAGAGGAACACTTCCATTTTTTTTATTTTAAATCTTTGAAAATTGGAAACCATTTCATTTTCATTTTTAGGATACTATTAAATTGAAGAAAAACCTTAAACATAATCATGTGTTAGCATACTTTTAATAAGATCACAATGAAAATAAGGTGACTGAAGGGGTGTCAGTGGCTGAATGAAGTCGTTTACTTCAAACCACTTGATCCTCACTACTGATGTATATCCTGCAAGGAACTTTGGATTCTTTCGTGCAAAGGTGATATCCAGCTAGCTGACAGAACATCAGTGGTTCTACTTGGGTGCCAGCTTATGCCTAAAATTTTGCACAAAGGGGCAATTCAGGTCTTTGACCACAAGAACCCAACAACAACATAACTTTAAAAGGCATATTTCATAAGCAGATATCTTGAAATATGTCATTACCAGTAAGAGTTTTGAATTATAAAATTTGATCCTGGTTTTTATATTCTTTGAAAAAATTGAGTGCTTTCTTGTAAATGAGATGTAAATGAGATGTTTTCGATACGGTACTGTTTTAGAAGACTTAAGTTTTCTTTGCTCCATCAAATCCTCTATATAAGACAGTTGCACAATTGTAAATATGATGTTCAATTAGAATTTTAAAAAAACCTATTGTAAACAATGCTAATACGCAAAAATGAAAATGGCCAAGGTTACTTTACAATTGTTATTTGAAAAACCAATAGATCTACACAATTAGCTTTAAAGAACTTTTATGAATGATATTACACCATATGTTATCCATTTATCTCTTGTCTTAAAAGATATTTATAGATCTCTGATGCTGTTGGCTCCCTTGATTTTCTTAAAGAGCAAACTTCCCTTGAATTATTATAAACCTGATAAGTGTTATCTCCCTTTAAAAAGTTGTTTTTCTGTAGACTGACATTATAAATTTTATTTTGCCTTTTTCTGCCATGAATTGTTTTTTGATATGTATGTTTGAATTTATGATATTGGAGAAAATACATGAAGCCTTACCTTGATAAAACAAATTGTGTGGTCACTTAAAGCTACATGCCTCCAGATGAGTCAAAATTTTTCAATAAAATCAAACTTGAGAAAAATGAAAAATGTACTAAAATGTAAGGAAAAGTGAAAAGTTTCAAGATTCAAGTAATATTTTACATATTATATGCAATCAATGACTGATTTTCAGTATAATCAACTATTTTTCTACTGCGTTACAAATGCAGTAAAGGCTTTTTATGCATATTTGACCACTATTTGGTAATTTACGTGGTTTATAAGTGTGGGGGTGTATAGTAACCAGACAAAATGCGTTGTAGTTTCCAGATTCGACCTTTACTGATCAACAATCATATATAGTATAAACAACAATACAATGTTAAGTCGGAAGTGACATTAATGTAAGCGCGAAACTTCACGTTGTGCAAGGCACTATAAATGACGTTATCAATTCCCGACAATAAGTGCCCTTGCTAATGTGTAGATTGCTTCCTTTGGGTTAATTCACAATATTACACATTCAGATACATTTTCAAAATTTTCATAAAACTAAGCATGAATCTGAAGGTGTGATGCTTTAATATTTGATTTTCAAAATGATAGTTCTTTTAATATGATTTTTCCTAGTCATATTTCCAGTTTCAATGATTTAAAGGAACTCTACTGTGTTTTTTGACATGAAAGTACTGGAAATATTGTTTCCCCAGATTTATGTACTGTTTTAAATAGGTCTGAACTAATAACTTGTGTGCAAATTCACAATGTATTTATCTAGAACAATAATATTTATTGTGCAAAATGACTAAGAATGAAGTGTGACTAATGAAATCAGATAAATTGTTGCACTCTGAGCATATTTCTTAATTAACCATTGCAGATTTTGACTTGATCTATGTAAAAATCTCAAGTTTTAACTTATGTTAAACTTTTAGGTCTAAAATTTTATGTTTAAGGGCTTTCTGACCTCAGTGGTGTTCCTTTAATATTTGCCCAATTAGATTACCATTTGATGATATTTATGAACCTATTATATGTTACAGGGGTCAACAGTTCAGACACAGAAGCCAATCTCTTCTTCATTGGCCGGTCCTTTACCTAATGTTTCAAATAGCAGTCAACCTAAAATAGTTAGCATTCCACCTGGTGCACCAAATGTAAGTATTTCCAATTTTGTTTCCTTTCATTATACATGTCTTGTCATAATAACATTATGATTTGTCAGAGTTATTAAGGTCACTGATTTGAAATCTTTTGTCCCTGATTTAAAAGCTTTTGTGAGTTCAAATTTTATCAGGGACTTTGGACACATTTTTTTAGGAAACTTTTCAAATTTTTTTAGGAAACTTTTCAGCTAGCTTACAGATTGGTTGGTGATTCTACTCAAGTGTAGGTTTTATCTTGAAATGATATTTTGAAAAGATCTGAGAACTTAAATTTCCTCAACAAGACAAGCTATTATTTTTAAGGATAACATATTATTCTCTTTTTTTGATCATTTCTTGATTATCACTGGCACTGGTCTTGAAGTTTATATCATTATTTTAATTGTTTTAATTGGGTATTATTCATGATAAAAAACTACACACAAAATAGAAAAGGTCGGCACTCCTGATATGATACATACTTAACATGACTAAATTTTTTAGGAAAAAAATTTAATTTTCAGAGATATATGTGTTAAAATGTTTAGATTATTATTATATAAAGGAACAAAAACTAGAATGTTTGCTTTTGAAAATGCCACCTTTTAGTGGAGATTACTATATAGGGATAGTGACCTGATGTCTGTTTGGGAAAATACAGACAGGTTCAGGTTAGAATAAGTCTACAAACAATGTGACATAACATAGCATAGTTTTTATGTCTATATATATATAGTATCTATTTGCTAAGGTTTGTTGTTTTTGTTGGTCACAGTACAACTTTTACGACTTTATTTTTTGTCAATTTCAGATTGGGAGTGGTGGTTTAAATGCCAGTGGTAAACCATCAAGTACACCTATTCTTCTGAGTCTACCAATAAATGGACAGCCAACCACTGTTCTACTAGATCCAGTAACAATGCAGGTATTAGGTACAGTCCAACCAGGTCAGCAGCCAGTACCTCAGCCGACGCCTGCACCTATTAGTGGTGTTGCAACATCAGCTTCAACGGCAACAACTACTGCAGCTCCCACTGGAACTGGGGCCAATAAGAACAAAAACAAGAATAATGCCAATCAGCGTGCCATATGTCCGAAACCCCTAGGTGGCGATGGATTTAGGAGTCAGACAGCACCGGCTAAGAAAAAGAGGCCACCATCGAAAGCGGCCAACAAATCAAAAGAAACGGTGCAAGCCGATTCTCTTTCTGAATCTCTTCAGATCCAAATTCCTGAATCTACAACCGATCCTGAAGTCTCGTCTGCAGTTTCTTCAGAATCAACTGATATTCTTGCAAAGGCAGCAGAATCGATTTTCTCCCCTCCTGCAGGGGATGTGGCAGGTGTCGGAGGAGCTTTTTACAATCCTGCTAATGAAGACAACCCTCTACATATTGACACTAGTGCAACTGAAGTTGAAGATGAATTGAAATCTCCAAGTAAACACACGAAAAAACTGAGTAATGTTAGTGTAACAAATACAGGAACATTAGAAGATAATGTCCTAGGGTTAAATTCAGTTGCCGAGGGAGGGAAAGCAATAAACGTGTCGAAGGTTGTGAATAGTGCTGAAAAAAGTGAACAAAGTGTAGATAACGTGACTTCTTTATCAGTTACCCTGGAAGAAATTGCTGGAATGCAATTTGGTGAAAGTGTTACTAGTGTTCCAGACAAAAGCAATGATATTATGATGGTTAGTGAAACGAGTAAGGGAAGTAAGAAAAGCAAACAGAATTCTTCGAAAAGTGAGAATAAAAAAGATGCAGACACTAAATCTGGAAATAAATCCAGTTCGAAAAGTAAATCATCAAAAAAAGTGGCACCAGACAAAGGAAGTAGTGGTTTAGAATTAGAGAAAACTGATTCAGACTCTCAAATGGATATTGAAAGTACTTTGATTCATATCCCGGACAATATAAATTTCAGTGAGAATGATCTGTCTGATGTCTTAGATCAAGTGGAACAATTAGGCAACCCTGTTTCTGAAAATATGAACAAAGGTCAAATGTCTTCGAAAAAATCAAAATCTAAAAGGAGTAAAACAGCTGACCCTGAAAGTGAACCAAGCTCTAAAAAGCGTAAAAGTGTGAAAGAGGTAAAAGACAATTCTAAAAGTGGTACGCCCTCAAAGGAAATACTCAGTATGCCATCATCATTATCTGTTTACGATTTTGATGATTCAGATGATATTGTGCCATCAATTTTGCCTCTTAATGGTAAAGACTTTACTGCCCTGTCGTCTACACCAACTAAGACAGAATTTGGTGTAACCGACTCTGAGGACTCGCAAAAGGGCGAAAACAAATCACAAAAAACTAGTGCTCAAAATAAGACAAAGAAAAGTTCTAAAAGTGCTAAGAGTTCTAAAGACACTGATGTCAATTTACAGAAGGCAACATGTGATGATCCTTCAAATAGTTTGATGTTAGAGATAAAAGACCTCACTGATATTGATAAGAAAACATATCAAGAGAATAAAGAAAATAAATTGGACAACAACAACCAGAATAAGGTGTCTGCACCTCTTCCCAGCATGCCTGAGATTGACACAACAACAAGTTTGTTTGGGTTTCCTGTGCCGAAAAAATTACAACGCCCGGATATGTCCTCAAAACCTCAGATGAACCAAAAGCCTGGCAATCAAGTTTCGCCAAAGCCTAGCCCACAATCAAACACTCCTTTAGTCTCGCCAAAACAAACCATGACTTCACCAAAGACTACCACAGGGATGGTATCTCCGTTGCAAAACAGTTTCTCACCAGAACTGGTCTCGCCTAAACTAAGTATAGTATCTCCAATTCAAGGTTTGCTTCCAGACAATGATAGTGGTACATCCTCGCCAAAGCATTACACCGAAATGTCTCCAATTAAAAAGCGAACAACTCCAGAGAAAGTGGATAGTATGAAAGTTAGTTCATTTAGTGCCTTAAACTCTGTGCCATTATCTAATACTTCCACTGATGTCTTTACCCCTATGGACAGCAGTAAACCTCTTGTCTCCAGTGTAACTTCCCAATCAATGGGTGTAATAACATCTGCCAAGACTGTGCCAACATCTATTCCTGATTCTAACAAAGTGAATAAAGATCCCAGTGTTCCGAATGAAGCAAACACTGTTCTGAAGAAGAATATGCCGGAAAATGTTCACAACTTGCCAATTAGTGCTCCTTCAAATCCAGCTCAGAAGTCCCAGAGTAACGGGAGGAATTCTTCTACAAATATGGAAAATAAGTTCAATTCTGCAAATGTTCCTGCATCAAATGCAAATAATATGCCTGTTTCTGCTCAAAGACAATCTCAAACTTCACTGAATTCATCTCAAAATAATAGATATGGAGGCCAGTTTAACAATGATCCTATATATGGGTCTATGCCTGGTATGAACAACAACAGATCTGTTCCTAAAGACACTACTTCACGCTCAAACACCGTAATGAACAATTTTTCAGTCCCTTATTCGGCAGACTCGATATTCAGTTCACATGCAGAAAAGGTGATAAAATCACCACCAAATGTTAACATATCAACATTGAACCAAAAGCCGGACACTTCTAATATGTCGAAATTAAGAAACACAAATAATCCGTATTCTGTGGATAGCTTTGTGCAGTCTAGCAGAGAGGAAGGTATCCGATCGAGACCTGATACAATCGGAAGTCATGCTGATTTAATCAGCAATAGTGATTTAGGTAGCACTACAAATGACTTTTCCAGATTGCAGTCGGAAAGTTCGCCGGACGGATTCAATTTCGCAAATATCGGACTTAATCTTCAGCCAATTACAAGTAACATACCAAGTAGTTTTATGGATACCTCGAGTACGGTAACCTCTAACATGTCATCATCCTTTTCATTTTCCTTATCATCAACTTCATCGACTGTGACAACAAGTTCTGGTGCAATTGGTCATCATCAGTTTCCATTTTTTCCACCAGTTTTATCTTCGTCTTCAAACGTGCCATCTTCACAAACGAGTCTGCCAGCATCTATGCCAAATATGGACATGTTTGACCAAAATAACACAGGTAATAATAATGTTATTCAAAGAAATAATACTGTTATGCATCCAAGTGGTAGTAATTTACAAAGAGGTGACAATAGTCATATATCTAGAGTTGATTCAAATAATGTACCCAGAGGCGATACTATGCAGAGGAACGATAAAGGTCCTCCCCCGATACGAGCCGATGAAAATAATCGTGAGCAGGGAATTTCATCATGTAGCAAGCAGAAAATGCCTAAAGGACAAGGGCCTGCTACAATTCAAGAACCGTTTTCATCATTCCCGAACACAAGTGGAGGACCGGAGAATAATTTCTTCCATGATTCACAGATGAAATCTAACGTTGGTAAAAGTCCGACAGAACAAATGAGAAAACCGCCACCTCAAGATAAAATGATGGAGATGAACAATTCTCATTCTCGCAGTAGTAGTACACAGTCTTCGATGTCCGACAAGAGGGGTAATGCTATGGATAGGTCTCCTCAAATGATGAACAATTCACAGCCATACTATCAGTCTAATTACCCATCATCAAAATCTCTTAACACTCCTCCACTGCATCATCCTGTAATGATGCCCCCTGATGAAAGAGGCAGGACCATGACAAACAGATCCCCATATGACACACCCTTCCCCCCTCCCCCATCATCTCAAGGTTTTAATGCAATGGGTCCAAGTTACAGGTTTGATAGTGGTCCACCAAGCTTTAGTAGGGATAATTCAGGAACTCAACCATTGAGTCACACCCCTGTAAATACGGGTGGTAGAAAGTCTGCAAATCCCCCACCTCCTGCTCAAACATCAGTAGTTAAACCCCCTCAAAAACAATCTGCCCCTCCTCTTGTACCAATGGGTGGTCCGCAACAACCACCCCCATCACAGGCTCCAAGGCAAACACCTCAAAGTCATAGAGCAACTACACCCCATGGCAACCAAGCAGGTGCAACTCCCACAGCATCTGGGGTCAGTCAATCAAGACAGTCAAAGCAGCCTTCTCGTAACTCGAAACCCTCTTCCTCCAAAAAATCTAAAACAATGCCATTTATGGAAGTTGACAGTAATTTGTCTAACTCTATATTTGAGACTAATAGGAGCATGACACCTTTCTTTCCCTCTATGCAAAACCTTTCTCCACAATCAAGAATGCAACATGAGGGGTCCCCATTCCTGCCCGGAAATTTCTTTGGGCCTGGGTCAAGATTTCCTAACTCTAATACACCTATGCCTAAAAATTCAGACATTGGTGCGCCATTTAACCCATTGTTCCCACCTAGAGGTGCTCAAAATGGCCTAGGTTTAAATTTTCAACCTGGCTTTGGAATGAACATGAATCCTTTACATGGTAACCATGGAAACACTCCTCAACTAACTCCACACACTGCTCCTCACATGGCAAACTTTAGTTTAAACAATATTTTCTCCGATAATGCATCTCAGAATGAATCTTCCCTAAATATTTCACCGATTAAGTTACCGCACACGAACCCCATGTTTCAACATCAAGGTATGGATCATAACCCCATGCAGCATCATCATCAGTATAATCGAGGTCATCCCTCCGTTATGTCTATAAATAGCATCCTTGGACCCAATCACCATGGCTTCGATGGAAGAATGAATACATCTATGGCCGGTCCCTTCCATAGTCATGGTCACCCCTCTTTCATTCCGCCCCTAAATTTTTCAATGCATGATCATTAAATGATTATTTTGCAGTTTCAACTAATTATGAAAACTTTGGATTCATTTTTTTTTTATATTTGTATTTCAAAAATTTTGTCAATTTTGTTTTGGTTAACAATTCATCAACGAATGCATGAAATTTATATGGAAAAAAAAATGATTATTTTGTTTCATTTCAAAATGGACACGTGTTGTATTATGTTTTTAAATTTCCGCAATCACGCTTATGTTTAATATATAATTATATCGGTTGTGCTAAATCCTGGCTTTAAATGTATTGTTTATTGATGCATTATTATTGTTTTTGGAAATTTTTATCCAAAAGTTCAGTTCAGAAATGTTGCATGAACTTAATTTATACAGAAAGAAATTATTTAATCAACTGATAAAGAAACTTACTGGCATCAAATCTTTATGAGAAAGTTATATGATTAAATTTTTATTACACTTCAAGCGATTAAAAGTTATTGTAACTCTGTGAGCTTTTTATCTTAAAGATAATGTTGTATATTCATTTTTGTTGGTGATTTTATTCTTAATATTTTAGTTTTTTTAAGATAAAAAATGACTAAAATTGTCACTGGAGTGTCTGATATTACTTTTATCATCTTTCATGAAATATTTATAGTTATATTACTTTTTTTCTCAGTTGTTTGCTTTATTTTATTCTTAGGCTTTTCATAGATTGTGTTCAAATAAACCGATCATTGATCTTGTGTCAAAATGTAGCTCATTGGGTCAAAATATAGCTCATAGGGTCAAAATATAGCTCATGAAGTAAAAACATAGCTGAGTTTAAAAAATAAGCTCATAGTGTCTGAAATTTAGTTCACTAGGTAAAAAATTTGGTTTTCTAGTTAAAAAATAAATTTACTTGGTCAGAATTTTGCCCTGCATTTTAAAGAAGAAACACACTAGATCAAATAACAAGTCAGCCAAGAAATTGATATAAACCAGTTCAAAGTCAAGCTTGTTATTTTCCAAGAAGAACAAAGGTTTTTTATTTTTTCTGCATTAAGGTTGGAAATGAATTAGTTTTAACATTCTTTTACTCTCATAATGGTTTACACTTGCTGTGAAATATACCTTTTGAGAAATAAAATATAAGATTTTTGACAGGAGGTTGTGTGAAGACTATGTTGAAAGTGAAGTATCTGTCACTAACATTAATATTTTAGATCAGGTTGCATTTTTATGGTCGATTTGTATGGTTGTACTGAATTAACATTTACTTTATGAAAGTTTTTATGCCCCCACAATGTGGGAGCATATAGCGTTGCACTTGTCCGTCCGTCCGTCAGTCCGTCCGTCCGTCCGTCCGTACGTCCCGAAATCTTGTGAACGCAACTCCTCTTAAACCGGATGGCAGATTTTGCTTAAACTTACAGGGATGAACAACCTTAATGTGTAGATGGTAGTAAAGGAAGGAATTTTCGCTGCGACCAAATTTAACAGAATTATGGCCCTTTGTTGATTTTTTCACTAGATACTATGTAGAAATTTTGTGAACGCAACTCCTCTTAAACCGGATGGCAGATTTTGCTTAAACTTACAGGGATGAACAACCTTAATGTGTAGATGGTAGTAAAGGAAGGAATTTTTGATGCGACCAAATTTAACAGAATTATGGCCCTTTGTTGATTTTTTCACTAGATACTACATAACCTTAATGTCTAGATGGTAGTAAAGGAAGGAATTTTTGATGCGACCAAATTTAACAGAATTATGGCCCTTTGTTGATTTTTTCACTAGATACTATGTAGAAATTTTGTGAACGCAACTCCTCTTAAACCGGATGGCAGATTTTGCTTAAACTTACAGGGATGAACAACCTTAAGGTGTAGATGGTAGTAAAGGAAGGAATTTTTGCTGCGACCAAATTTTACAGAATTATGGCCCTTTGTTGATTTTTTCACTATATACTATGTAGAAATTTTGTGAATGCAACTCCTCTTAAACCGGATGGCAGATTTTGCTTAAACTTCCAGGGATGAACAACCTTAATGTGTAGATGGCAGTAAAGGAAGGAATTTTCGCTGCGACCAAATTTAACAGAATTATGGCCCTTTGTTGATTTTTTCACTAGATACTATGTAGAAATTTTGTGAACGCAACTCCTCTTAAACCGGATGGCAGATTTTGCTTAAACTTACAGGGATGAACAACCTTAATGTCTAGATGGTAGTAAAGGAAGGAATTTTTGATGCGACCAAATTTAACAGAATTATGGCCCTTTGTTGATTTTTTCACTAGATACTATGTAGAAATTTTGTGAACGCAACTCCTCTTAAACCGGATGGCAGATTTTGCTTAAACTTACAGGGATGAACAACCTTAAGGTGTAGATGGCAGTAAAGGAAGGAATTTTTGCTGCGACCAAATTTTACAGAATTATGGCCCTTTGTTGATTTTTCACTATATACTATGTAGAAATTTTGTGAATGCAACTCTTCTTAAACCAGATGGCAGATTTTGCTTAAACCGCCAGGGATGAACAACCTTAATGTGTAGATGGCAGTAAAGGAAGGAATTTTTGCTGCAACCAAATTTTACAGAATTATGGCCCTTTGTTGATTTTTTCATTATATACTATGTAGAAATTTTGTGAACGCAACTCCTCTTAAACCGGATGACAGATTTTGCTTAAACTTCCAGGGATTAACAACCTTAATGTGTAGATGGTAGTAAAGGAAGGAATTTTTGATGCGACCAAATTTAACAGAATTATGGCCCTTTGTTGATTTTTAGTTTTCAACTTGTGGCACATGTAGTCCAAAAAATATTTGACCTAGAGTCATAAGATTGACAGAACAGTGGCGTGTGGGGGCATCCGTGTCCTATGGACACATTTCTAGTTTTCGTGTTGTATTACATGTATACAGATTTTATGATTATTGTATAACTCTTAGCCTGCTAGTGACAACTTAACGAGACCAGTGCAAACCAAGGTCAGTGGGCATTGGTGCCATCTGATCATGGTCTGCACTGTTCGCTATTCAAAACCATACATGATTTTAAAATTTTCCTAAAACTGATGAATGGTTTAGTCCAGATTGAAATATGGACAAGTCCATTTAATAATATTGAGCATGGTTAAGATTAAATGTTGCATTTATGTTCATACATATATCCATGACATGAGTACAGCAGGACAGTTGGTATTTAGTTTTCTTATTATTTACATAATTATTAACTATTTTATTGGACTGGAGGTCTAAATTATTTTGTAAATAAAGTATGAACTGTGCAAGAGCCACTGGCTGGTATTTCATAGTCTTTATCTCTTTGAAAAAGAAAAGGAAAGAAATTATGCCTTACATGAAAATATGCATGTAAAAAAAACACAGTCTTGGAGAATTTGAAAATAGGCATGAAAAAAAATTCAGCATTTGAAAATATGCATAAAAAAACAAGTCATGAAGAATTTGAAAATATGCTTGAAAAAGACAATCAACATATTAAATTAAGCATGAAAAAGACGTGCAGAACTTGAAAAAAATCTCATATCTCCTAACAGATGATATTAGAAGCTTTTGAATGATTCTGAATCGTAATCTATAAGATTTTTGCCAGCCACATATTCATGTATTATTTATAGTTTTCATGTTTTTTTCCCTCAAATTCATCATGTAGTCAATTGTGGTATATGCATAGTACTATAGTTTGTCGAAAGAATTGGCAATTTGAATTAAAACTTACTAATTACCGTAAGGGTTCTTGAAATTTTTAATGAGAATATATGTCTATATATATAAGTACCGTATGTTACTTGAAATGTTCTTTGCTTTTTAATATAATTGTAATAGTATGTTGTATTTGTTGCAAATGTGAAATCCCGTTCGATACTTACAAAATTGTCAAAAAAATGTGAAAATGGTGCTAATACATGTATATAATATATATATAATTATAATATAAAAAATGTAAATTTATGCTAAAGTGTAACTTTGTTAGAATGAAAGATAATGTTTTAGAATATAATTTTAGTTGAATTTTTATACCATAGTCATATGTTCAACAGCAATTGTAATATATTCTCTTTCGTGGAAATATTTTTTTTCTATTTTTAGAATCATGGATACGTGAATTTATGTATGATATTCCAGTTCTTGCGTAGAAATGATTTTTAGCTTAGATATGACTAGCTTTAATATATTAAGAGAAAAATTGTATATATAATGCTTTGTTGAAAATGTTTTTTGTTTGGTAATAAAAGGTTTTGGAATGTTTATATGTTCATATAATATATCGTAGAATAAAAACCATTATTTTTCCTTTTTTTGCAATATCAGTTTAAGCTCAAGTAATAAAAGCATAGGGGAATTACTCTCAATTCTGCCAAGTATCGACATGTGGCATTAATGTTACAATTTGTTAATGTTCGGCATACAAAAATATTGAAGGTGTCCTCACTTGTGTTTTTTTTTAAAAGTGAAGGTCGCTGAACCAGATCTGTAATTCAAGCAGGCATTTTTATAGAAGTACACCCCTCGGTGAATTTAGAAATTTTGTATTGTTCTTATTTTGCTAGCACTGAGAATAGTCTAATGTGCTGCATGTATATATTGTGATATTTTGAATTTCGTGTGAAAACTGTCACATATTTAGGTAGGTCGGGAACCTGCTTTCTTATTATTTTTTTTCTTTCCTTGTTTAACAGAAAGTTATTTTTGTTTTATCTCTTTTACTTTACACTTCATTTCATTCCTGAGTAGATTTTAGTTATTTTGTTTTATGTTCACAAATGGTCCCATGTCTTGTTTGATGTTTTTTTTTCTCCCATTACATTTCTTTGATTTATGCTCCATTGACCATGTTAAATTTGTCAGTTAAAGTTTGTCATTTCTCTATTGCAGACAATGTGTTGTCATAAATAATTCTTTAGGTTTTTCGTATTCGATTAGATTTGTAATGATGACTGGTTTTTGTGTCGCCTTGAAAAGGTGACATATAGGGGTTATTGTGTCACCTTGAAAAGGTGACATATAGGGGTTATTGTGTCGCCTTGAAAAGGTGACATATAGGGGTTACTTTTGTCGGCGGTGTCGGCAGCGGGGTCTGTGTCGTTGTCGGCGTCCGCTAAAGCTTGTCCGGAGCATAACTCAGTCACTACAAGTCTGATTGACTTCAAACTTGGTATGCATGCTTCGTTCAATAATCCAAAGCGCAGTGCACAAGGACCGGTATCCTGCAGTTCTTATTTTTTGAGTTATTGCCCTTTGTTAATTTTCATACTTTAATTTTGTCCGGGCCATTTCTCTTCAACTAAAAAAGCTATGGACTTGAAACTTCATAGGATGATAGATCTCATTAAGAAGAAATGCAGTGCACAAGAACCAGTACTCTGCACTTCCTAATTTTTGAGTTATTGCCCTTTGTTAATTTTCATACTTTATTTTTGTCCGGGCCATTTCTCCTAATGTATAAAAGCCATGGACTTGAAACTTCATTGGATGATAGGTCTCATTAAGAAGAAGTGCAGTGCACAAGAACTGGTACTCTGCATTTCTTATTTTTTGAGTTATTGCCCTTTGTTTATTTTCATACTTAATTTTTGTCCAGGCCATTTCTCTGAAAGTACAAAAATTATGGACTTGAAACTTCATAGGATGATAGATCTTATTAAAAAGAAGTGCAGTGCATAAGAACTGATACTCAGCATTTCTTATTTTTGAGTTATTGCCCTTTGTTGCTTTTCTTACTTTATTTTTGTCCTGGTCATTTTTCCTCAAGTATGAAAGCTATGGACTTGAAACATCATAGAATGATAGATCTTATTGATAAGAAGTGCAGTGTACAGAAACTGCTGCTCTGCACTTATTATTTTCTTAGTTATATCCCTTTGTTATTTTTCATATTTCATTTTTGTCCTACATTGTTCACAAGGTGACACATCCGACTCGCGGAGTTCTAGTGAATCATTTGCCTCACTTAAATAATGTCTGAATTTCACGTTGATAAGATTTTAGGCCACAGAGTATACTTAGCGCCAGAAGCTGCGATTATCTCCTCTATGATTATGTAATTCTATGTGGCCTAACCCATATGACACAATATTTTTTCATAATTGAGTGTTTGTTCAATTTCTTC